GTGGGGAGGTGTAGACCTGACAGAGAACCGGAGGGGACTGCGGGACGCGGGAGGACAGTGGAGGCTCGGGCGACTACTGGGCCCCCAGTGGGGTCAGCCAGTGAGTCTGGTACCTGTGGAGCAAGTGGTGTGAGTGTGGTGCAGTCACGAAAGAAGCAACGTGACGCGCCTGAGTCAAGCGTGAAAGTGTGCAAGGCATCAGTTGAGGCAGGACCTGTGGCGGTAGACGCACGAGCACCTTAAGCTGCAGCAGACTCACTAACACCTGGAGCAGCAGCAGACTCACTGGCACCGAGTGCGGCAGCAAACTCACTAGCACCTGGAGCGGCAACAGACTCACTAGTACCGAGTGCGACAGCCCCTACAGAACCAGTGACACATCGCTGAGGAAACAACTCACTAAGCAGCTGCGTGGAGAAGGTCTCCTGCTGACTCTGATGCCGCCTTTGTGCAGTACGCAGGAAACCAAAGTCTCCACTACCTGGACGGGCTCGCTGAATAACCCACTCACGAAGCTGCTGAGGGGTGGGGTCGTTCGGGAGAGGCAGTGACCGCTGCTGTCCACCCCTAGCCGCTGCAACTGCCGTGATAGTGGCCATGACAGGCAGTGGCGGTCAGTAGTAGGTCCAGCACCTCCAGCACCAGCAGCACCTCCAGCACTCCCAGCAGCACCTCCACCAGCAGCAGCAGCAGCAGCACCAGCAGCAGTAGTAGCAGCAGGGCGGCTCGATGGGGATGGTGATCGAAGTAGGGCGGCGCGGCTCGGGTTGAGCAGGGCGGCTCGGGCTGGGCAGCGCGGCTCGGCCGGTCTGGGCGGCGCGGCTGGGCAAGGCTGGGCGCGCCGCGGGCTGCAGGGCAGGGCGCGCGGTGGACAGGGCAGTAGGGCGCGCTCTGTGCAGGGCAGCAGGGCGCGACGCGCGGGGCAGCAGAGCGCGACGCGCTGGCTGCAGTAGGGCGCGACGCGCGGAGCAGCAGAGCGCGACGCGTGGGCTGCAGCAGGGCGCGACGCGCGGAGCAGCAGAGCGCGACGCGCGGGCTGCAGCAGAGCGCGACGCGCAGGGCAGCAGGGCGCTACGTGCGGGCTGCAGCACGGCGCGACGCGCGGAGCAGCAGAAGGCGACGCGCGGGCTGCAGCAGAGCGCGACGCGCAAGGCAGCAGGGCGCGACGTGCGGGCTGCAGCAGGGCGCGACGCGGAGCAGCAGAGCGCGACGCGCGGGCTGCAGCAGGGCGCGACACGCAGGACAGCAGGGCGCGACGTGCGGGCTGCAGCAGGGCGCGACGCGCGGAGCAGCAGAGCGCGACGCGCGGGCTGCAGCAGGGCGCGACACGCAGGGCAGCAGGGCGCGACGTGCAAGCTGCAGCAGGGCGCGACGCGCGGAGCAGCAGAGCGCGACGCGCGGGCTGCAGCAGGGCGCGATGCGCGGGGCAGCAGAGCGCGACGCGCTGGCTGCAGTGCAGGGCGGTGCGGCTCGCGAGCTGCAGGGCAGGGCGGCGCGCGGGCCTAAGGGCTGCAGGGCAGCGTGACACTGTGCGAGCAGGGCCGGACAACGCAAGGGCGCTTCGGGCAGGAACGAGCGGAACTATCGGTGGGCCCTAAAAACTTAACAGGTTTCCTGCTCTGAATACCATGTCAGTATAACTGTGCAGGAATTATTGGATTAGCAAAAGTTGGGGTACAAGTACTAACCCTAGAAGTGCTGCACCCCATAAGAAGTGCCCCACTATAGCCTACAAGTAAGATTGTACTTTGACAGTAAGTCCTTACTAGGTTTGTTGTAGTGTACTGAATCCAACATGAACTCGTGAAAGTACAGACTTGGTCCAATTTTATAGACTCCATGGCTACTTTGCTTACTTCAACTTCAATATTGAGCTTGTTAACGTATTACCAACTTCATTTGCCACCTATCTATGGTGTTGCCTAGGCTTTCGTTTCATGGAAACTCCAGTCTTCGTAACGGAAGCTTTTTAAATTTATGGGAGAGCTGTCTATCGGCAATTCTACCTCGATCCGCGATAAGTGCCCTCCCACTCCATTTGCAGAGCTCTTTTGCCCTCCTTGCTCTTCAGGAGTATTTGCTATCCATCCACACCTCGCAATTCTTCTAGACCTTCCGGGCGCGCATCCTCTTACCAAAAATGGCGGCAGACGCTGCTGTCGAGAAAGTCGAAGGTAGGTTTTTCTCGTCCGGGTTAGTTATATTCTCCCCGCGCTCGTGTCAGTGGCAAGAGCACTCGCCGCCTTTTGACTACCTGCTTCTTCGGGCCGTGATTCGGAGAAGCGTATCGCTCCATCTCGCATCTCTCGTGTATAACGCGCCGTCCGAGATGCGCGTGCCGTCTTATCCTTGCGCGCTGCGACCTGGGTGCCAGGCGCGACGCGGTGCGCGTCGCGTTGAGTTACTTGAAAACTTAAGAGATAAAAAAACATGTCGTTCGAGCTTGCGCGTATTGACTCCCTTACCCCGTTGTCTATCCGTATCGACGTAGCCTCCGTGTCTCTCGAGTCCCACGGAGAGGGGGTTAGGGTTCCCTTGCCACGTGTCACGGGAGGAACCGGGGGACAGGCGCAAATGTCGTTCCCCCTCCTTCCCCATCCCCAAGACAGATGCCCACCGCCCGTTTGCGATTTCTGTTGGTCGTTCTCCCATTCCCGCCCCTCAGCTTTCCCCCTCATGACCTCCTCGTCTCCTCTTCTCCTTCTCTTCCTTTTCCACCACTCCCCCACTCACCCTTCCCCCCTGCCCTGCTCCACCCCCCCCTTCTCCCCGCCCCCTCTCCCCTTCTCCAATCTCCCCTCCACCCCCTACCCTCTCCCGCCCAACCCCCCTTCCCCCGCCCCCTGGCGCGCGGCAGAGGTGGTGGCGGAGCTGAAGGTGGAGGGCGACAAAGCGGAGGAGAAGGCGGAGGAGGAGGTGAAGGTGGAGGACGACGCGGACGACGACGACGACGACGAGGACGATGACGACGACGACGAGGGGGGCGATGACGACGCTTCTGCTGGCAACCGCAAGGGCAAGCAGGTGCGCGCTGCTCTCTCGTGCTGGCTGGAATGACTTTTGAGTCGACTCTTAGGACCTCGACTTGACTCTTATCCTCTCATCCCCATTTTCCTTTCCATTCACTCTTGACTCTTCTGCCCTCTCTTCCGCTCTCGTCCTCGAACCCCGGATCTTGAACCTCATTTCTGGAATGTCGATTTTTCTATCCTCGTTCGATTCATCGTCGTCCTCTTCTTGCTGTGCGCCCCCCCCGCCCCCCCCCCCCCCCGCCCCCCCCCCTCACAGAGCCGCAGTGAGAAGAAGGCGCGCAAGGCGGTGCAGAAGCTGGGGCTCAAGGCGCTGACGGGCGTGTCGCGTGTGACGATCAAGCAGAGCAAGAGCACACTGTTTGCCATCTCGCGTCCGGACGTGTTTGTGAGCCCTGCCTCCAACACGTACGTCATCTTTGGCGAGATCGAGGACCTCTCCGCCCACGTGCAGTCGCAGGCCGCTGAGCAGGTGCGTTCTTCTGCCCTTGCTTGCCTTGCTGGCCTTGGGTAGGCTTGCCAAGAGTGGCAGGCTTGGCGGGCTGGTAAACCATTCTATTTCATGAGCGGTTCTGGCTTTATACGTATGCATTTCGAAGTCTCATTTCTGGTTTTCTCTGACCTTTCTTTCTTGCTGGAATGTATGCTCGTGTCCTTTTTTCATTGACCAACAACTCCTGCCATGTTACGTTGTGTTCCTCTTTGCCATTGCAGTTCAAGATGCCCGACTTTGCAGCTGCTGATGTCAAGGCTGTGGAGACAGCGGCAGCGGCAGAGGAGGCGGAGGAGGATGTGGATGCCACCGGTGTGGAGGAGAAGGACATTGAGCTCGTCATGACCCAGGCGGGCGTTTCCCGTGGCAAGGCCATCTCTGCCCTCAAGTCCACCAGCGGTGATATCGTCGATGCCATTATGCGCCTCACCACGTAAAAGGCAGTGTTTGGGTGTGATTCTGATTTTGGTAGTACCGTATGGAGCAGGCAGCCTAGCAAGCTGGTTCTACAAAAGAGCTCCTTTAGTGTAATCCATACTGAGCTCTGTTTTGTGTTCATGAATCATCATGGATAAACATAGTGAAGCTACACTCTTAGCTGGCTAATCCCGAAAAGATCCAGAATGTTGGGCTCGGTTTGCTTGGTCGATAGACAATTTCGTCGCTTTCGCAAGGTTACTCAACAAAACGTAACCCGAGAACCTTGCCTCCAGATTGTTTTTATCGCCTAGGGATTGCATTGCCCCCCCAAGCAGCAGTGCGCTGGTGTACTGGTGGTTGCCTCGCCTTGTGCTGGGAGCGCGTGGGGAAGACTGCATAGGGCGCGCGCCGTGAGAGAAATGCGCGCGCACCTTTCTCTAGCGTGCTCCCCGTGGGATGGAGGGGGGGGGGGGGGGAATGGGAGCGCATTTCCCAGTTGGGAGGACGAAGGAACCTCTACTGGTGCTGCCGAAGTTTGGAGTCCAATACCCAAGTAAGCTCTGCTATCTCAGAGGCCTGTTACTGCTGACTACTAACTTGGATCGTACCCAGTCGAATCGGCTCGGCGTCCAACGTTTTGTGTTTTCTGATCGGATCGGCTTTCGTGCGAGATGGGGAAGAAGAAGAGAAAGGATGCGAAGCCGTGGTGCTTCTATTGCGATCGCGAGTTCGACGACGAGAAGATTCTGATTCAGCATCAGAAGGCGAAGCATTTCAAGTGCCACGTATGCCACAAGAAGCTTAGCACGGCTGGCGGCATGGTGGTGCACGTACTCCAAGTTCACAAGGAAAATCTTGCCAAGTAAGCAACGGCTTTTAAGCGTTTTTATTATACTTTCAACTGTTTTCCTTCATGACCGCGAAGACTATTTTTCAGTCATTTTTCTTCCTTCCGTGGAGGAGACTAGTACACAAAGTCTGATCGTGTCATATTAACTGCCTCCAGAGTTCCTAATGCCCGTCCGGGGAGGGAGTCGGTGGAGATCGAGATTTTTGGGATGGAGGGAATTCCGCCGGAGGCTATTGCCGCGCACAACGCCGAGCAAGGTACTCGTCGTGTGCTTGGGACGGATCTTCTTTAGCAATATTGTTGAATGCTGATCATTGCTCAGTTTGCGGAATGACTGTACATGAAATTGTTGCGTTTTTTTTTTTTTTTTTTTTTTTTTCGGAGGGATATATGCCAGTTGTCTTTCGGTCGTCGCTCTCCGTCATCCGTTTATACTGATTCGTTTTACGCTGATCCGTTATGAGCAGAGGAGCGAGCTGCCAAGTTGCAGCGAACGGAGCAGGACGACGACGATGATGATGATGGAGGGCCGCCGCCCCAGCCGGCCTATGGCGCTGCTCCCGCCGGTATGGCCCCACAACCGCTCTACGCTGCACCCATGCAAGCGTGAGTATCCTGGTGCTTTTCCTCAATCCCATCTCGTTCTCTCCATTTCCCTCCTCTTCCCTCTCTTCCCCTCTTCTTCTTCCTCTTCCCCTCCTCTTCCCTCCCTTGCTCTCCCCTCCCCTCCCCTCCCTTCCCTCCCCTCCCCTCCCCTCCCCTCCCCTCCCCTCCCCTCCCCTCCCCTCCCCGCCCCTCCACTCCCCTCCCCTTCCCTCCCCTCCCCTCCCTTCCCTCCCCTTCCCTCCCCTTCCCTTCCTACCCGTCCCTCCGCTGCCCTTCCGTCCATTTCTCTCCCCTCCTCGCCTCTCGACGAGTGCATTACCTGTCGCTTCCTTGTCCTTCTCTCGTTGCTTCCTGGTTCTCTGACACTCTTCTTGCCGTCACACCTGCAAAACTCAATTAACTGCAGCAGCGCCTCTTATTCAAACCCCACTCGCAATCACGCACCACTTCCGCCGTCGCTCGGCACATCATCAGCCTTGATGCGTTCCGCCTACGCCCCCCCTGTGCGCCTTCGTGCCGCTCTTGTCCCCTGTGCGCAGATACCACAACCCCTACGCGCAACCCATGCCGCCACCGCATATGCTACCCCAGTGGGCGCCTCACGGCCCAGGCTACCCCCCCATGCCCGCATGGCTTCCCCCTCCCGCGCACTCCCCCTCCCCCGGATACTTCCAGCCCGGTCCCCCACCCTCTTCCTACCCCCCTCCTCCGCGCGGGCCTCCTCAACCGCTCTTTCCGATTCAAGGCGGCGTCCGCCCCCCTCCGCCGCACTCCATGAGCACTCCGCCGAATGCGTACCCCCCCGCTCCTTCCGCCACCGCTCCCGCCGGCGCACATGGCATGGCAGGCGGTGCGCCTCCTCCCCCCGCGAGTCCCGTCTTCCCCATAGCTTCCGCCGGCCCGCCTCCGTCTTCCGCCGCATCAGCGCCTGCAGCGCCTCCCCCGGCCCATTCCCCCGCGGGCGCAGGACCTTCCGCGCAGCACTTCCCCCCCGGCCCTGGCGCAGGGCCTTCCCCGTATCCCCCGCAAGGGGCGGTTTTCCCCATTCCGCGGCCAGGGTACCCTGGCCCTCCGCCGGGCGCGGCGGCTCCGTCGTCCACTGGGGCGCCTCCGCCACACGCGGGCGCGCCGAGACCAGGGCAACCCATGCCGGGGGGAAGCTACGGCGCTCCTGGTGAGTCGCGCTTTGAGAGAGGGGGAGCTAGAATGAGAAGGGGGGAAAGGGGGGGGGGGGAGATCAGTGCTGGGTTCTGGGGGGGGTGTGCGAGGTTGGATGGGGTGGGAGGGCAGTGAGTGGGTCCAAGGGGGAGAAGAAGGGCATTACAGAGAACGGAAAGGTTGGGAGTGGTGTGAATGTTGTGATGGCCACACACGCTACTTTGTTTCGTATGTGTGTCTTGTTCTGATTCTTGGTAAGATGGATGGAAAGAGACCATGGCGTTCTCATGCGTTGCAAGGTTTCACTGTCGTTGCTCTCCTGCCTGTGCTCTCAACAACCTGCCATCCCCTCCGTCTCCAATTCCTGTGTCCAATTCCCTCTCCCTCGTCTTCTCGCCTCAAATTTTCTTCCGTATTGCCTCGCAACTGCTCTTTCTCTCCTCCCCTCTCAACAGTTGTCTCTCCCGTCGCTTCCATGCCCGTCTCTCGTTGCTTCTTTGCTCTCTGACACTCGTCTCACCTTTCAGTACCCCAATTCCCCTCTCCCCCTTCCCCTCTCACCCTTCCCCTTTCCCCCTTCCTTCCCTCCCTTCCCCCCCCCCTCCCTCCCTTGTCCTTCCCCTCTCCCTCCCTTTCCCTCTCTCTCTCTCTCTCCCTCTCGCCCACCCCCCCTGGTGCAGCTTCGCTTCTGCCAACCCCTGGTGCGCCTGCAGCTACCAGTGCGCCTGTGGGTGCGGCGCCACCAGGGGGACTGCCGGCCATGGCAGCAGGAGCACCACCAGCAGCGGCACCAGCAGGAGGAGCAGGAGGAGTGGCAGCGGGAGGAGCGGCCCAGGCGGTGCCTGCAGCGGCTGCAGCGGCTGCGCCCACGACAGTGACGGAGGTGTATCTGGTGTGGGACGACGACCAGATGTCCATGGTATGAACTGTCTGCCACTTGCCTGCAATGCCCAATGTTCACTTCAGTTTTCGAAGCTCCTACCTTCTCCCCACACCTCCCCTCAGCCCACACCCCCCCCCCCCCCCCCCCCAACCTCCTCAGCGCCATACCGTCCCTCTTTTTGTTTTTGTTTTTGATTTCCTCTTCCTGTGCCCTCAAATTTCCACTTCTAGCTTGCTCTCTGTTTCTATGTCATCCTTTAGTCAGCTAATCTCTCAAAACCTTTTTGTTTTTGTTTTTGTCTGGAGTCCTTGAAATGTCACACTTTTCACTCAGCACATATGTCGCCCCTTCAGTTATGCCCCATGCAATCGCCTGTAATTTAGCAGTACCTTCCGCCCCTCAATGCTGCCCATCTTGGTCAATGCTGCCCATTATGTGTTACTGCACTGCCCCCGTTGCCTGGCGCGTGGTGTCTGGTGCGTGGTGCCTGTGCAGGAGGAGCGGCGGGCCAGCCTGCCGCGCTACCACGTGCGCGCATGATCCCGACCATGACCAGTCAGACCACCTCCACGGCTGCTGCACCGCTCGGCGCTGCTCTGCACCGCACTGCATTGCACCGGATCTCTGCTGCTTGCGGTCACTGGCATAGCCGGTATGCGATGCCATGCCACGCCATGCAACCCTGCGTTGTGGCACAGCCTGTGAGAGACCACTTGCTGGTTCGCTCCTGCTTTTGCTGACTATGGCAATGGGGGGAGATAGCAGATTTGCGGAGTGCAGGGGTGGTGTTGCAGCATTGGGATGGTAGGGCTGCTGTAGGGCTGGATCACTTGGCTTGTCTCATGCAGGCTCATCCTGGCTCTCCAGGCATAATGGATAAGAGGGGGGAACGGCTCAGCGGCAGGCCTTGGGCTTTCTCAGGTGCCCCCCTTGTTTCTTTTCTTTTCCAGTCCAGTCTGTTGAGTTTCCTCTGTTGGATGCGTGTGGGAGATAGCTTGCTGCGATTGTGACTAATCAGGAAGTATTTCGTAGGTTTGTTCGAGACGTGAGTTCCTTGGCACCTTTGTCATAATCAGCTATCGGGTGGTGTCAATGACTATTGAGGTTAGTACCAAACCTGCAAGTGTGGTAGTTGGCGTTTTTGTGTTGTCTTCTCACAAAGCGCACAGAAGGGAACAGATCACATCACATGCTGCTTTCAGGTACCGTCATGGCAAATTGCGTAGCATCTAGATTCTAGAGTTAGTTTTTCACCCACTGGGCTTGGTTCCTTCATGTGTTTGCTATTGCATGTCATCTCAACCTGAAAATATGAGATTTCGGGATGCTGTTTTGTGCATGGTAAGGATTAGTTTTGAGATGCTGCTGAGAATTTGTGTCTTTCTTGTAAGAGGCCATTCGATAATATGGAATTCCAATTTGAAATACCACTGAAGCAGGCGAGCCGATGGAATAAGGTGAAGAGCGGTGCCGGAGATTCCACAGACTCACGACGAGGACGCAATGCGACTGTCGCAAATCAACAGCATTTTGCTTGGGAGATGCGAAGTCACGTACGTTGCGACGATGTCGCTTGCGCTTCGCGATCTTGCAAGGGCGCGTCCCCTCCGTCGATCGATCGCGAGATCGCCGTGAAAAACCGATCGGGCACATCGATCGTAGGTTTGGGGCACGATTGGTAGGAGGTTACAGCAGATGTGCAATCGCGGGTCGACTTCGAGCCCAGGGTGACAGGATCGAGAGTGCAGGGGGGAAAAACCCATCGAACGTAAAAAGGCCCAGATCGGTGAGGGCACGAAGGCACACCGATCGTCGTGGGCGGAAGTGACAAGATCTTTGGGAACCATCTACTGTACAAGCGCAAGTCATTTCCAAAAATGGTTACCTTGTAAATTGCGATGCTCTTTTGAAATTGTAGCAGTTTCTGATCGATCGATGGAGAATCGTTTGACCCTAATTGTAGCCTCTTGCAAAAAGGATCCGCATGAAAATGAAGGGTGAAACACGCCCTGCGTCCACAACTTGCGACCAATCACCCAGCCTTGACGATTATCGCAAACCGGAGGAAAGGGTGTGCTCGTGTTCCGACACGGCTACTTGGTGGCAACCGGGTAACCGAGCCACCATAGCGAATAGCGATCAATCGTCAATTGTTATCGCCGCTGAGTTCATTGCTTGAAGACCACTGGCTTGCTGTAACATTGCGACATAAGTTGACACAAGAGTCGCGAGTCGCGACGTCTCAAAGCACCCGCCAATGCGCCCTCGCCGTGGTCGTCGTGCCGCGATTGTCTTCTCCAGCTCATCGCATCGTCGTAGTGCCTCGCCGCCTCCGCGACAGTGCGCTTGCAGTCACTCGTCTCCTCGTCCCCCTCACCTTGAACACCCCGTTCCAACTTCCATTCCAATCACCCACGCGAGCGCGCCTCGCCGTTCTCCGCAAGCCCTACGACCTGGCCGCACCCAACCTCTGCCGGACCAACCTGACCGAACCTACCTTATTCGAGGCTAGTACGGCCCGGCACTCGTCCCGCTGCGTCGCGTCGCTCTCACATCATGTCGTCGCACGCTCCCCGCTCCGAGTCCCGCGTCGCGCTTCTCCTCCGCCATTTGGTCCCCGCGGAAGGCGCCAACCAGCTGCGCAGCACCGACGACATCCGCGCAAGCAGCACTTCCGCGGACGGGGCGACCACCGCGACCGCCCGCGCCTGCGCCTTCCCCTGCCCGCGCGGGTGCGGGGTTTCCGCCGTTCCTTGCTCCGCGCGCGCGGCACTGGGCGCGCCCGTGGTGGTGGGGGGGATGGTGCTGGACGTGCAGGGGAGGGCGGGCGCGGAGCGGGCGCTGGAGCGAGGCACCACCACGCCAGGACAGGTACACTTCCCCCGCGCCCTGCGCCCTGCGCTCTGCGCCCTGCGCCCTGCGCGCGGCGCTCGGATGCCTCGTCCCCTTCCCCCGAGTCTCCTACCACTCCTCCTCAACCCCTCGGCCCCATTGCCGCCACCCGTTTTTTCCCTCCCTCATGGAGGAAGGAGGGAGGGAGGGAGGGAGGGAGGGAGGGAGGGAGGGAGGGAGGGAGGGAGGGAGGGAGGGAGGGAGGGAGGGAGGGAGGGAGGGAGGGAGGGAGGGAGGGAGGGAGGGAGGGAGGGAGGGAGGGAGGGAGGGAGGGAGGGAGGGAGGGAGGGAGGGAGGGAGGGAGGGAGGGAGGGAGGGAGGGAGGGAGGGAGGGAGGGAGGGAGGGAGGGAGGGAGGGAGGGAGGGAGGGAGGGAGGGAGGGAGGGAGGGAGGGAGAGCGGAGGAGGGTGAAGTGTCGCCTGGCGCCCACCAGCTTACGTTCTTCCCGGCTCTTTCCCTCTGCCTCCCCTCCTCCCCTCCCCCTCTGCCCGCCCCGTCCATGCCTCCCCCCTCTCACGGCACGCGCAGGTGGAGTTCCGCCCCGGGGGAGTGGCGCGCAACATAGGGGAGTGCATGGCGGCACTCACTGCACCGCCCCTCCTCATCTCCGCCGTGGGGGATGATGCTGCAGGCAGGTCACGCTGCCGCTGCTCCCACGCCCCTCCCTTAGCTCGCCTCCACCCCCGCCCCTTCGTCCCTCCCAGTCGTCTCACTCCCCACTCACTCCCTTCTCACTCCCCTCTCACTCCCTTCTCACTCCCTTCTCACCCCCTTCTCACTCCCTTCTCACTCCCTTCTCACTCCCTTCTCACTCCCTTCTCACTCCCCTCTCACTCCCCTCTCACTCCCTTCTCATTCCCCTCTCACGCCCCTCTCTTGTCCCTCTCGGCCCATTCATGGTACACTTTGCTCCATACCTGTGCTCCATACCTGTGCTCCATACCTTTGCTCCATACCTTTGCTCCATACCTTTGCTCCATACCTGTGCTCCATACCTTTGCTCCATACCTTTGCTCCATACCTTCGCTCCATACCTTTGCTCCATACCTTTGCTCCATACCTTTGCTCCATACCTTTGCTCCATACCTGTGCTCCATACCTTTGCTCCATACCTTTGCTCCATACCTTTGCTCCATACCTGTGCTCCATACCTTTGCTCCATACCTTTGCTCCATACCTTTGCTCCATACCTTTGCTCCATACCTTTGCTCCATACCTTTGCTGGCTGTGCTGCGTGCATGTACCTCGCCCTCCCTCTCTTCTTCGTAGCCCCTTCTCCTTGCATAGCATACACTCTTATCTCTCCACGCTGTTTCCCATACCGCCTCACCCGCTTTCCCCTGAATCCTCCACCTCCTTACCTGATGTCCTATATCTTCCCTCCACCGTTTCCGCTCTCGCCTCTCCCTTCCTACCCATTCCGCGTTCTCCATACCCCCTGATTGCCACGTCAGCGGACGTGCTTCTCACCCATTGGGCATCAAGAGGGCTGTCCACCCATGGTAAGCACATGAGGATGAAGGGGGTGGCCCACACCTTGCCATGCCATGCCATGCCATGCCATGCCATGCCATGCCATGCCATGCCATGCCATGCCACGACGTGCCATCCCATACCATTCCATGCCACGCCATGCCATGCCCTACCATACTATACCGCACTGTGCCATCCCATGCCTAGCCTCCTCTCTTCCCTATTCCCCCCGCCCCCGTCTCTGCCACCTCCCCCTTATTCCTTCGTGCCACCCTCTCCCACCGCTCTTCTCCTCATCATCCCTCGTCCACGTTTCCTGCCCACCACGCTACCCTCTCACTTGCTCTTCTCCACCGCACTCTGCTTCCCCACTGTTCTTTGCCCCTCTCTCTCCCTCTCTTTCCTCTCCGCCCCTTTAAGCCAACGTATCCTCTTGTGCCCCCCTCTGCCCCTCTCTGCCCCTTCTGCCCCCCTCTGCCCCCCTCTGCCCCTCTCTGCCCCCCTGTGCCCCGCTGTGTTGTGCTGTCCTCTGGGCAGGCATAGTGCGGGCAGCAGGGCAGCGCACGGCGGTGGTGGCGAGTGTCTTCGATGGGGGGGGCGAGGTGGCTGCTGGTGTGGCTGACGTTGCTGTCCTGGTGCGCTGGGGTGCGGTGGGGTGCGGTGGGGTGGGGTGGGGTGGGGTGGGGTGGGGTGGGGTGGGGTGGGGTGGGGTGGAGTGATGTGGACTCATGCTACTCATGCACACACGCGAGCACACATACACACACGCACGCATGGGTGCCTGTAATTCAACCCGCCATCATCATCCTCCCTGCCTTAGGTTCACCCCACCTCATGCAACCCTCCATCACCACACTGCATGCATGTAGCAGCAGCAGCAGCACTCCATCACCCTTCCATCACCTCCATCACCCCTCCATTCAGCACACACAGCTGCACATGCCCCTGCTCACCCGCACCGTCCTCCATTAGTGCACCGTCCTCAACCCCTTCCTCCGGCAATGCCTCCCCGCCCTCATTCTCGCACCTTCCATTCCATGTACGATGGGGTCAGCCCAGAACTCACTTTCATGCATGGCATTAGTTTCATTTCGTTCATGCTAGAATTATTGAGTAGCAGAGTGCGGCTGTACCCCCCCCCCCACAACCTCCTCCCCCACCCACAACCCCACACGTGTACCGGCCACCAGGAGCAAGGCATGCAGGAGCAGTGGATAGAGCGCTTCACACAAGCCATCCATGCAGCGCCCTGCCTTGTAGTGGACACCAACCTCCCACCATCGCTGCTCGCCCATATATGTCAATGTGCGCGCTGCCCCGCCCCGCTGCCCCTCCCACGCCTGCTCTGCTCTTGCCATGCTTGTATTGCCCTGCTCATGCTCGGCAGGGCGACCAATACCACACTCCCTCGCCCACTCTCCCTCTCCCCGGCCCATCCGCACTCCCGCTCTCCCACTCTTCTCCCTCTCCCCGTTCCACTGCATGTGCTCACCCACCCACCCATGGAGCATGTGCCTTGAACAGATCGCCGTTTCACCTTCATGCCACCTGCTCATGCCACCCTATGCCACCCCATGCCACCCCATGCCACCCCGTGCCACCCCATGCCACCCCCGGCCCCCATGTCCGTCTCCCCCTCCGTGCTTGCAGTGGCGGCAGCAGCAGGCGTGGCAGTGTGGTGTGACCCTGTGTCTGTTGGAAAGGCCCCCCGCACTCTCGCCTCTCTGCCACTCGTGGGTGCCTGCCTTGCCTGCTCCTCTCCACATTTACTTCAAATCCTAAACCACCGAATGCACGCACACCCACACTTGCACAACCCCCAATCTCTGTGCGTTCTTCTTGATATGATGGACCGAGCACACACCCTATGAACAGAACTCCCCCCCCCCCCCCACCTCCATTCACAGCTGCCCCTCCCCACTTCCCCTCCCCACGCACGCACTCACATACGCACACACAAACGCACCCGCACATGCGCGCGCACACCCGCACACACCATGCAACCACAGCCTTGCCTGCTGCTGCCCTCCGAGCCCGCTTGCACATGCCTCCTCCACTGCTCGTCGTACCCACTCCACACTTGGCCTCCTATCCGCTTGCATGCCCATGCCACCCCTCTGAGCCTTGCAGATCCACGTGCTCGCCCCCAACGAGGCTGAACTGCACGCCATCGCCCACCAGTTGCCCACCACCCGCACCCGCACCTCTTTCTCCCCGTCCTCTTCGTCCGCCTCTCCTATCCCCATACGGCATCACTACCACCACGAGCACATGCTTGGGGAAAGGGAAGCATGCGAAGCAGCAGCAGTAGCTGTTGCTGAAGCAGCAGGAGCACAGGGAGCAGCAGCAAGAGCAACAGGACGGGCAGCGAGAGAAGCAGGGACGGCAGCAGCACGTGCCCTTGCTGCTGATACCATCTGTACCTGCGAGCTACACCGCAAGCCACCCTGCGAGACATGCTGCAGGTCACACTGCAGGTCACCCTCTTGCCCTGACTCCAACTGCCCTACAATCAGCCACTCCCCACATTCTCCTCCTCCTCCGCACCTTCCCCTCCCCCTTCGTCTGAGCACCACCACCACATCAGCGCTGCTGTCCGTGCTGCAGGCAGGAGTCAAACACGTGCTTCTAACGAGGGGCAAGCACGGAGCATGCCTGGCATCGCTGCAGTCACCTTCTGTACTTCCAGCCCCCGACTCCCACGCCTGTCTGTGCCTACATTATTTCCCGGTGCTGCCCGTTCGCGTGCCCGAGGGGCAGCTGAACCTAAGCGGAGCGGGAGACTGCCTAATGGGAGCAACTGTTGCTGCGACTGTCTTGATGGCCCGTGGGCATGCCACATCAGCAGCACCTACACCAGCAGCAGCAGCAGCAGCACGTTGTGAGGCCCAGGTGAATCCTCAGGTGGTGGTGCAAGATAGGTTGGTGGCAGCAGTGGCGGTGGGCATGGCAGCAGCACGGGTGGCAGTGGAGAGCCGGGAGAACGTGCCGTGGGGGGAGCTGCAGAGGGACGTGCTGCCACTGCTGCTTAAACAAGGTTGACGGAGAGGCGAGAGGAGAATGTAGAATCATTGAGGAATGGTACCTATCCTATGCTTAGTGTAAGGTTTAATTCAAATACCGGTACATGTGTGTATTGATGATTAGCCTAGTTAACATGGAACATGCTCATGGTCCTGGTCTTCACATCATCAAATACTGAAGCTCTAAGGTAAACATTGTATGCGTACACATCATTCAACAATCATAAATGAATCAGTTCCTACAACCCATACCACAACTAATTACCAATAAACCAAGTGGTGGTGGGTGCTCATGATCAATGCAATCCATGCCATGCACTCTCACTGCATCATAAAGCAGGCCAGAGCCGCATGACGCTGCTGAATTGAAAAGTTCTCCCGAATGGCCGTGTGAGCAACGCAACAGCTCACATTGAGTTGACAAGTCAACTCTCTTCTGCCCCTCTGCTGCTCCCACACCCTGGCACTTCACAACCACCACCCATCTTTCCAAGGACACTCAGCAGCCAATTTCTCTGCGACCATGGCCACTCACACATGTGCAACCCCACGCAGCACTGCTTGCCGCAGCAAGAGCTGTTGCTGCTGGCGCCTTTCCGTAACATTTCCAAGTGACTGGACACGCACGTGCGGCTTATTTGGAGGCCGTGCTGCTGATCTGCACAGCCCGTACACTACCCCTACTTCACTTCTATGCTTCCTCTCCCTCTGCCTCTCCCTCTTCCTCCTCTTCCGCACTCTGCCTCCCATGCCCCTCCCGCTCCGTCTCCTGCTCCTCCTGTGCCTCTTGCACTACCCCCTTCGCACTCCTCTCCCCCTGCGCCCCCTGCCCCCCCTGCGCCCCGTGTGCGCCCGGCTCCGCCAGCGCATGTCTGTCCAGCGCCTGCCTCAGCGCCTCCACCTCTCCGCGCATGAGCGCCAGCTGCTGGCGCAGGGCGGGGGGCATGGCGGAGGGGGCCGCGCTGCCCTGCGCCCACGCCAGGTCCGCCTCCATGCGCATCAGCTCCGCGCGCAGCTGCAGCTCCGCGGGGGACGTCACGTGCTGGGAGGAAGGCGCGGAAGGGGCGGAAGGGGATGCAGCAGCAGCGGCGACAGAGGCAGCACTGACTTCTACTTTCTGAAGCCGGGGGTATGAAGGCTCCCCTGGGAATATCTCCTTCTCGCTCTCCCCGCCACTCGCGCTCTCGCTCATGCTGCTCCCGCTCCGCCCGCTCCCATGGCTGCTGCTCCCCTCCCCTCCGTCCGCGTAGAACGGCGCGTCCAGCGTGCTCCCCGCGCTGCTCACATGCGCCAGCGCTTCCCCCTCGTCCGCGCTCCCGCTCTGCGCAGCGTTCCCCCTGACTGTGCCCCCATTGCGGTTCTCTTGCCACCCTTCCGCGCACCCTCCGCCGCACCCTGTTAGGGTTGGTTCGACGAACCACGGAACCTACGGCGAAATGCGGAATGACGGCGGAATGGATCTCGTGGGAGATTCTAGATCTAAAACGGTGGAAATCGGCCTACGGTGAAGAATGGAAGCTACGGCGTGAGAAGCGGGAGAGAAATCAGGAAGAAACTAGAGAAATGGAGAGAGAAGAGTGGAGAAGCATCGAGAATGAGATTGACGGGGAGAAATTGTGGTTCGAGCTGGAGGCGTGTTCGAGAAGGTGCTGGAATCGGACTCGAGGAGTGTTCGGTGCATTCGGTTCGGTTGCGTGTGCGACTCGGGGTCAACGAGGCGCACGCGGTTACTTGGGAAACAAGTGAAGTTACGAATCGCATTTTGTGACTTGCTTGACTATAAAACTGCTTGTACTCATTCTGGAAAACATAACTTGGAGATTCTGAAAATTGCTGAAGTGTGTATTGACAACTTCAAGCAGAGCTGCGCATATCGTTGGATTTGGGAGATCGTGGAGAACACGATAAGCAATAGCAAGTAGACTATTGCCGACTAAGGTGTTTACGATCTTAAGACACCCTCCGCCGCATTCTCCCCCGCACCGTTCCGCGTAATATTCCGCCAGCCCCCGGTGCGCCATGAGCAACCCCATGTTCATACTCACGCTCTTCGGCCCGCTATTCCAAGCCGCCTGCTCCGCCTCCGCGCTTCCCCTTCCGCGCGCCCTCCACTCCGCTTCCGCCACAGAGGCGGGCGACGCGAGCGCATCCCACTCGCGCGACCCCATGTTGCGCCACGGGCTGCCGTGATTGGCCGAGACGCTGCGCTGGGGAGGCGGCGGATCGGAATACGCGGGGGATGATAGCGCGGGGGACGCGCGCATGGTGTACGACCGGTGCGCACCGTCTCTCTGCGCGTCCGCCTCGTTTCCGAACCACCGCGGCTGCTGCAGACTCGCGTCCCCGTAGCCGCCCGCCATCGCTGCTTCCCCAGCCGCCGCAACTCCGCCCGCCGCAATCTCCGCCGCTAGGAGCGCCGCCGGCTCCGCAGCATGCGGCACGGGCAACCAGCCACTGCAGCTGCCCTCGCCGGGCGGGAACGCCGTGCGGTCGCCTCCCGCAGCGGCAGCCATTGCGGCGGGCGCGGGCGCGTCGTCGTAGGAGTCAAATAGCGCTTCGACTGGCGCGTCCAGGAGGAACGCTGCAAGGCCCGCGGGGACTCCGCGCGGGGCGGCGGAGTCCTCCGCCGCGCCTGCTGCCGCGGGTGCCGCAACAGTTTCGTTAATCGCGCAACCGAACCCTTTCATGGGGTTATACACCTCTCCCGAGGCGCCTTCTTCCCACGATAGTACACGGCACGAGTCGCACTGGCAAACAAGAGAACCGTTGGAACCGGCCGACGGCACCGGCTGCGACGCGACGGAAAAGGAGTCGTCGGAGTGCGACGCGACCCACATCTCCGCGAATTCTGGCGGGACGCCGATCTCGGGGATCTCAAAGAGCTCCTCCGTCGTCGCCGTCAGCATACGCGCTGCGAGCCCGCCGTGGCCCATGATAGAGTCGCTTCCCGGACTCGAACCCGCGACCATCGCCGTGGAAACTTCGGCTGCTGAACCGAACCGAGGAGGTTCGGATCCATGCCAGCCTGGTCGATCGTTATGAGCAGGCGAGAGTCTATGGGTCCATGATGACGACGACGATGACTTCGCTCCCGTCGGCGATTTCGGGGGTAGATTGCATCCCGGCTCGTCGAAAGGGGAGGAGACGCGGTGCATGTGGCCGCTGTGCGGGTGGCCATTGTAGCGGTCGGTGTGATTATGACGAGAGGTGCTTGGCGCAGCAGCGCTGGGGGTTGCAAAGCGCGGGTGGGGGTGGTGGTGCGAATCCGACTCGCTCTTGCGGCGCGACGAAGAGGATGAGTAAGGCCGGGAGGTCGAGGGGGAGGACGCGGAGTGGTGTGCGGTGGAGGAAGAATGGCCCTTGGCGGAATGGGAGAAGGAGTAGGAGTAGGAAGTAGAGGAGGAGGAGGAGGAGGAGGAGGTGGGGGATCGGGGGTTGCTGCTGAAAGCCGCGAGAAGCTTCGCGGAGGCGGAGGAGGCTCTGTCTAGGTCGAGACGAAGCCGCGTCATTGCGGACAGCGAGGATGGCTCTGACGAGGGCGGCGGGTGGCGGCGTAGCAATAGAAAATGACTGATAGTAGTTAATTCTGGGCCGAAGCGTGTCGTGTTTTACTAACAGTACTCGCCAGAAGAGGGAGTGGTGTGTCGTTGCTCCTCAGTGTTAGGAAGCAAGGTTGCTCATCAATAACAGTTGTTTAGGATGTGCATTCCCATTTCTTCGTAGGAATTACTCCTCTCTACAACAATGCTGGTGAGTCGTCGATTTACTGGGATCCGAACCGAAGTGTTGTTTATGTGGAGAGTGGACACTAAGGAAGAAAGGAAGCAGGATGAGCCATGGTGATTGGCTGTTGCTGCTCGAGTCGCCTCTGGGTGCGCTTGACTGTGGCTCAACCCACTGCCTTTCGCTGTTGTTTTCCGTCGGCTAAATGCTGCAGCGTGTCCTGGACTTCCCGATTCAGCGCTGTACTGCGCGATCCAATCCTTGCTCCGGCAATCCCGAAATCTTCCCAGTGCTGGGAGGGATTGGCGTACAGAAAGAGGTTCGCTCCCCCCTCCAATAGTGGTCAGCAATGTCTTGTGGCGTTTCCGCTTCCCCTACCCTATCCGTTCGAACAAGTTCCAGCGACATCCATTCGACGACATTGATCAGAAATTGGGTTGGGATGTCCACCGCGAAAAACATGACTGACCTCGTGGACTTTACTTTCTCGTCTCGTCTCGTCTTGTCTAGCTCCATCCACTCATCTCATCGTCTCTTGTCTCGTTGTCGTCTCGCCATGCTTGTACGCTTCGTGCTCACATGACAGGCAGATTGGAAGAAGAGAGATTGGAAAATAACCAGTGAGGCGGCTTCCAATAGTGCTTGGAGAGATTCACGTCCTGGTCGGTGCGTTGGCGAACGCGAAGCAGCAATCCGCGCCGCGGAAGGACAAAGATGCAAGGCAGAGGCTCGTCTTGTCCTTGGTGCCTTGAATGCGCTGATTTGATTGCTCGCTAGAGCACTTGTCTAAAAGTATACACCTAGTCCGTGGTATTTTAACCGCCGCTATCTTAACCGCGCGAGGGTACTTCTCCTTAACCGCCAACCTGCTGCGAGCAGACCCACTGCGTTGGGTTGGGGGGGCAGCTTCACCCTTCCTGCGCTGGACTGGGTAGGGCGCATTGTCCGTTGTACATATTTCGTTCTGCCCGATATTGTACCCAGATCCTCACCACGCTATCGAATACATGCAGAAACGCAATGCACAGAAACCTCTTGTTCACAGGTACCTTTTGTCAGATTTATATGACTTAGCTGCTGTAGGCTATAGTGGGGTAGCACATATGGGGTACAGCTTTCTAGGGTTTGCACTTGTACCCAACTTTCCCTTAGTCTTTTCATTCCTCGTTCATTTTCACATGGTATCAGAGCAGGTTCCCCTGTGGGAACTGTTCCTAGGGCCCACCAACTTTTTTTTTTCCTGCCCGGAGCGCGCTCAGCCTCTGCCCGAGTCGCGCTCCCCTCTCACGGCCCCGTCGCGCCGCCCTTACGACCCCGTCGCGCCGCCTCAGCGGCCCCGTCGCGTCGCGCCTCCCTAGCGGCCCCGTCGCGTCGCCCTTGCGACCCCGTCGCGCCGCCCTCGCGGTCCCGTCGCGTCGCGCCGCCCTCGCGGCCCTTTCGCGCCGCCCTCACGGCCCTTTCGCGCCGCCCTCGCGGCCTCCTCGAGCCGCCCTCGCGACCCCTCCACGCCGCCCTCGCGGCCCCGTCGCCTACCCTTGCGGCCCCGGCGCCACCCTTCCCGGCCCCGGCGCCGCCCTTCCCGGCCCCGGCGCCGCCCTTCCCGGCCCCGGCGCCGCCTCTGCTGGCCCCGTCGCCCCACCCTTGCGACCCCGCGGCCCCACCCTTAAGGCGCCGGTCGCCACCCTTCGTGGCCCCGCCGCCGCCCTCAGCGGCCTCGTCGCCGCCCCACCCGGCCCCGCCGCCGTCCCCACGCGGCCCCGCCGTCACCACCGAGCCGCCGGCGCCGCTGAGCCGCCGATCTACCGAGCCGCCGCTGCTGCCGAGCCGCCCGAGCCACCCGAGCCGCCCGAGCCGCCGAGCCACCTGAGCCGCCCGAGCCGCCGAGTCGCCGAGCCGCCGAGCTCCAGTTGCTGCCGAGCCGCCGTGCCGCCGAGCCGCCCGAGCCGCCCGAGCCGCCGAGTCGCCGAGCCGCCGAGCTGCAGTTGCTGCCGAGCCGCCGAGCTGCCGAGCCGCCCGAGCCGCCCTGTCCGGTAAGAGCGGCACCTCTACCACTGCGCTGCCCTTACCCTACTGCTCCAGCTGCTAGTCTACTGCTGTCATGGCTACCCCCAGTGTCCTCGCTTTTGACGCTGAGGGTCGGGCCATTGACTTTGACGTCTGGGTAGATGACCTGCAGCTTTTCCTACAGTGCGACAGGGCAGACGGTCTCTCTCTCTTTGACCTCACTTCTGGTGCCTCTTCTGCCCCTGCTGCTGATGCTGACGCCACTGTTCGCTCACAGTGGGCCACACGCGACGCTGCTGCCCGTCTTGCTGTGCGCCGCCACTTGCCTACCGCTGAGCGTGCACACTTTAGTCAGTACAAGAGTGCTAAGACCTTGTACGACGCTGTAGTTGCACGCTACTCTTCCCCTGCCACTGCTGCACTTAGCCGCCTCATCCTGCCGTACCTCTTCCCTGACCACGCCGCTTTTCCCACAGTCGCTGACCTCATTACGCACCTGCGCACTAGTGACACTCGCTACCGCGCTGCCCTTCCTCCTGAGTTCTGCGCCAAGAACCCCCCCCCTATGTACATCACCCTCTACTACGTAGTCACCCGGCTCCCTGACACCCTTCGCCCGGTCAGGGACCACTTTCTCTCTGTTTGCCCCACCACCCTCACCGTTGACCTCCTCGAGGAGCGCCTCCTAGCAGCAGAGAAGAGCATAGTCGCTGTAGGAGCCTCTCGTGGTGACCCTCGTGCCCCTGTCTTTGAGGGGTGCTCACCCTCTCCTCTCTTGCCCTCTGTTGCCTCTGCTGCTGTGGCCGACCTCGTTGGTCTTGAGTCGGTCGGTGCGGCGTCTGCCCCTAGCGGGAGACGCCGCACTGGCAAGGGCAAGGGGGGCAGGGGCGCTGGAGGAGCTAGCGGGGGCGGTGGAGGCGGCGGTGGAGGCGGCGGAGGGGGTGGGGGTGGCGGTGGGGGTGGTGGCGGGGGTGGGGGCGTCGGTGGCGGCAGTGGAGGCGGAGGCGGCGGCGGCGGTGGCGGTGGGAGCGGAGGTGGCGGAGGTGGCGGCGGTGGAGGAGGCGGCGGCGGAGGAGGTGGAGCTGGTCGGGGTGGCGCTGCGCAGAGGGTCGGCTCCGGTGGTGGTCAGCGCCAGCAGCAGCAGCAGCAGCAGCAGCAGCAGCAGCAGCAGCAGCGCACTCGTGAGATCCCCCCCCCTCAGCAGCTTCGTGAGTGGTACGCTGCACGCCAGCGGGGTGGGGGTACTGGTCCGTGCACCTACGTCCTACGCACCGGCGACCGCGCGGGTGAGCCGTGCGGGGGTGCGCACTCCACCCAGCGCTGCTTTGGCCGCCTGACGGACGCTTGGCGTCACCAGTTCCCTGAGGCCACTGAGATCCCTCGCTGGGGCGAGTTGTCTAGGGCGGGAGTAGCTATCTTTGACCTTGACTTTGATGCTATTCTTGCTGCCATGTATGCTGTGACTATTAGTGATGAGGGTGACTGTTACTGGTGTTTTCCGCCCGACCCGGGCATTGGGACTGCTGCTCTAGGTACTGGTGAGGCTGCTGCTCTAGGTGCTAGCGAGGCTGCTGCTCTAGGTGCCAGTGCGTCTGCTTCCTCAGGTGCTGGTGAGTCTGCTCTCTCAGGTACTGCGTCGGCTCCGGCCTCCCACACCTTCACTCTTGACTCGGGGGCTTCTCGCTCCTTCTTTCGAGACCGCACCACACTCACGCCGCTTGGTCGGCCAGTTGCAGTCTCTCTGGCAGACCCCTCTGGGGGTCCTGTCCTTGCTCACTTCTCCACTGTCCTCCCGTGTCCGGCGGCCCCCTCTGGCACCCTGTCTGGTCTTTACCTCCCCTCGTTCTCTACGAACTTGGTGAGTGGTGCTGACCTACAGGATGCGGGGGTTCACCAGTTCACTCCTGCGAGCCAGCGTGTGACCCACTGCACGGACGCTCGGACGGGCCGACACTTGGCCACGTTTACACGTCGGCCGGGGTCGAGCCTGTACACACTGACCACTGAGTCTCCTCCAGTCACTGCGTCTGGTCAGGCAGCTGCGTCGGGTCAGGTGTTTGCTGCAGCGTCCAGGTCTGGTCCTGAGTCTGCCCCCTGCTCGTGTCGCCTCCTGTCTCACGAGACTCTCCTCTGGCACCACCGCCTTGGTCACCCCTCCCTGCCTCGTCTCCGAGGCATGGCATCCCGTGTCCTTGTCTCTGGTCTTCCCCGGTCCCTCCCTCCCCTTCCTCCGGGGCCTGCCCCTACCTGCGTCCCCTGTGTCGAGGGGCGGCAGCGTGCTGCCCCTCACTCCTCCCAGTTTCCTCCGACAGAGGCCCCGCTGCAGACGCTTCACATGGACGTGTGGGGCCCGGCCCGCGTCCGTGGACAGGGTCACGAGCGCTACTTCCTGCTGGTGGTTGACGACTACTCGCGTTACACCACAGTCTTCCCCTTGCGCAGCAAGGGTGATGTCACTGAGGTGTTGATCGACTGGATCCGCGCAGCTCGTCTCCAGCTCAGAGAGAGTTTCAGCTCGGACTTTCCTGTTCTGCGTCTGCACTCTGACAGAGGCGGAGAGTTCTCCTCTGGCCTTCTGCGAGCCTACTGTCGTGCACGAGGCATCCGCCAGACCTTCACGCTTCCGGACTCTCCACAGCAAAATGGGATTGCTGAGCGCCGCATTGGCATGGTCATGGACGTCGCCCGTACGTCCATGATGCATGCGGCTGCCCCCCATTTTCTGTGGCCGTTTGCGGTTCGGTACGCGGCGCATCAGATCAACCTTCAGCCCAGGGTCTCC